TCAACGTTATTTTCAACGTTATTTCAACGTTATTTTCAACGTTATTTTCAACGTTATTTTCAACGTTATTTCAACGTGAATGCATCCCCCATCCCCCGAAGGAATATTACTATGCTCCTTCCACTCACATGGTTCCTCTCGCATGGTTATGTGCATTTGAGTAACGCTAAGGGAAAAAGGGAAAATGGGACATAAGTTTATCATTGATTAAATAAATAATCAATGATAAACCAATGTCCCATTTTCCCATTTTCCCTTGGCGTAACACATTTTTTCCCTTCATTATATTTAAATATAAATGTTTGCATATTTGTATATTTACAAAAAGTTAATATTGTACTTTCCAGTTAAATAAAACATTTTAAACTTTAAAATCGCGTTTTGATATACTGTATGACGAAAGTTCAATTTATGCAGTAATGTTCGGATCTTACTCGGATTATCCTTGGATAATACTAACGCTAGATTATTCAAATAATTATCCGGATAATCGTATCTATACTTAACACAAGTTATTTTTGGCATAACATTATCGTTATACTACATTATTTTCGAATCACAGATTTGAATTACATAATTTTTTTTTTTAGGGGAAGAAGGGTCTGCAGCCTATCACGTTTATATAAATATTTTTATGCAAATTTTATCAGGAGAGGGGTTTGGTCTTCCAATAAAAAGAAATTATGTAATAATCAAATTTTTTATGAATTTTAATCGCTTTTAACATTACAGGATTTCTATTAAATAAAATTTATTAAATTTGCTTGGCATCGATTACTAACAGGTATTCATACATATTGATATTGGCGAGTATAACCTGCCTTAAGCAATCGATTTAGGGGGGTAAGAAAAAAAGATATTCATTAGCAAGCATCTGAATCTGTTATTATTACAGTAATACTGTATACAGTATGTTTATAAACAAACAAAATAGAAAGTTAGCATGATCAAGTTATTGGCTATAAATTTTTTTAAAAAATCTTGACAAAAAAAATAATGCTACCTATAGATATTTACAGAAAAATACATAAAGCAAAGATATTCATGTAAATTTTCACAATGGTAATACCTTGCCAATAGTTAGTTTGGTAAAAATAATTTAGAAAGAGTTACAAAATAAACATAATTTATAACATATCGGCGGATTTTCCTAAATTAGGTTCTTGGATTTAACAATTACAGGATGCATAATAGCTGAAATTTTAGATCGGTTTTAATAATCACATTGTTAAAAATCTACAGTATAGAACCTAATTTAGGCCCAATTCTGCAAATCTGATTAAAAATTTTGAAACTTAATTGATTTTTGACTGACTAATTACCAAAATAACTAAAGAGGGAGTAATTTACAGTAGATGTATACCCATGTATTACGTATTATTATTAAAATTTTGATGCAATATAATAATATATCGATATGATTGCATAATTATAGTTACCGTATAAGCACGAAATAACGCCCTGTGCGTTAATTAACTTGTGCTATATTTTGAAAATATCATTTATCGCAACGATAAATTATTTGGAGTTCAGGACGCCCTAGGCGCTAATTCGAGACCATGTAAACTATTTTTGAAGGACCTGATTTTCAAATAACGCCATAAGCGTTATTTCGAGCTTGTACGTAATCCGGATAAGTTATCCGGATAATAAAATTATGAACAAATACGTACACTGAGATACCGGATAATGAAAACAGATAATGAGTTTTTTAAAGATAATTTATCTTCGGATAAACAGATTATACGAATTCGATCGCTACTTCCACTGATTACTTTCTTTGATGGATATATGTTGTACTGTAAGTGGAAACGGAATTTTATTTAAATTTATCATATGTACACACCCATACCCTAATTAATTTAACTAATTTAACTAATTTAACTAATTTAACTAATTTAACAACATATACGTATAAACGTTAAATGGAAATGTGCCGTTTTATGATTCGCAGGTGGAATCTATAATATGCATATTTCTATTTAAGAGAAATTTTTATACTTATCAATCAGAATTTTTTAAGATCAGAGAAAATAATCAGGATGACTCTTATATCAGCGGAAGAAGTTGCTAAACATAATACGTATCAAGATTGTTGGGTAATCATTTACGATAAAGTATACAATTTGTCCAAATTCCTTCCAGAACATCCTGGAGGCGTAGGTGTGATCCTTGAACAAGCTGGGAAGGACTCGACAATTGTATTTGGTAGAATCCATCCACAAGGAATAATACAGCAATACTTACCTCCTGATGCTTGCCTTGGATTGGTTGACCCTGCTACTATTATTGAAACTTCTAAACCAGAAATAGAACAACGTCGTGAAGCGATAAAAAATAAACCACATTTAACTGAAATACTAAATTTATATGATTTTGAAGCCGTAGCTTCCCAAATTTTAACTAAAGAAACATATGCATTTTATAGTTGTGCTGCGGATGATGAAATTAGTTATAGAGAAAATCATAACGCTTTTCATCGTATTTGGCTTCGTCCTCGAGTCATGAGAGATGTAACTCATATTGATATTAGTACAAAAATTCTTGGATATCATTCATCTTTTCCATTATTTATTTCACCTACAGCATTAGGAAAACTTGCTCATCCTCTAGGTGAAGTTGTCTTAACTCGAGCTGCACATTCACATGGAATAATTCAAATGGTACCAAATTTTGCATCATGTTCATTTGATGAATTGACAAGTGCTCGTAAAGAAGGGCAAATTCAATTTTTTCAATTATATATAAATAAGAATAGAGATGTAACTAAAAAAGTTGTTCAAGCGGCTCAAGAAAAAGGTTGTAAAGCAATTTTTGTTACTGTTGACGTTCCAGGTTTAGGTAATCGTGAAAAGGATGCACGAATGAAATATGTTGGTGCATTACCTGATAATCAAAAAGGAAATGATTTAGAACTTAATCGAGGTGCTTCACGACTTTTTAGCTCTCTTATGGATCCAAGTTTAAATTGGAATGATATTAAATGGCTTAGATCTATTACATCTTTGCCTATTGTCATTAAAGGTATTCAAACTTCTGAAGATGCAATACTTGCTGCAGAATATGGATGTGATGGTATAATGCTCTCAAATCATGGAGGACGTCAGCTTGATTTTGCACCTTCTGCTATAGAAATTCTCCCGGAAGTTATTAAAAGTTTAAAGAGATTAGGATTGTTAGATAAAGTTGAAGTATATATTGATGGTGGTATTCGTCGTGGAACAGACATCTTTAAAGCTCTTGCTTTGGGAGCAAAAGCTGTTGGAATTGGAAGACCATTACTTTATGCCATGTCTTCATATGGACAGGCTGGTGTTGAACGTGCTTTACAAATATTAAAGGATGAATTTGAAACTGCAATGCGTCTATCGGGTGCAAACACGATTGCGGATATTTGTCCTAATATGGTTGATATTAGAAGTTTATCTAATCATACATTTACTCCAAAAGATTATTTGTTTTCTAATGTGTACGATAGGCTTTCTCCTCGACGAAGTAAATTATGAATCTGTATCCTGGTAATTACTGTACTATTTATTGAATTCAGGTATTTTTTATAAAAAATGCAGTATATGACTTAAATTTGAACTAAAATTTAATTAAACTTGTTATGTTTCTTTTTAATCGTAATGTAAGTCATATAATAGGTGTTATACATATTGATATGCCTTATTTGTTATTGTATTTTTTTACTTAAAATAAATTTTCATTCTTGGATGTTCTATGCAAATAGCAGCCGTATCTTGTTTTGAATTTAATGTGCTCTCAATTTTGGGTCTTCGAAACCTAGGAAATATAAAACAAAGAATCTAAAATATCAAGTTGTAAAAATTTATTTGGGTATTGAATAATATTTGAATAAAATTTGGATAAGATTTTTTTGTAACTGTTAATAAGTAAAAAATTTTATTCAATTCTAAAGCTTTTATAAAATCTAAAAATTCATTAAAATTTTAATAGAAAAAAATAAGAATTATTTTTAAATTTTTTTATTTTTTTGCTATACTATTTAAACTATTTCAATATTTTTAAATATTCTATACTATATACTGTTTATATATGCTATATACTAGCTAATTATACATTTTTTATAAATTTTTTTCTTAAAAAAATTACATTGCCATTGTATCACACGAAAAAGTATCAAAAAAATCTGCGTCACCAATCTTCCAGAATGACAAATCTGTAGATTTATTTGCGATTATCTTTGTGTAATCAGACATCATTCTCGGTTCTCGTTTGTTTAGGGAAAAAAAAAAAAGATGAGTTCGCCCGAACGCGCTCTTAAAGCTGGTATATTGGGGGCAACAGGCACAGTAGGACAACGTTTTATCCTTCTACTTTCAGCTCATCCTCATTTCACCATTCATAGTCTTGGAGCTTCTTCGCGTTCAGCCGGTAAAAGCTACTGTCAAGCTACAAAATGGAGAATGTCCAGTCCAATAGCTGCTAACGTTAAAGATATGGTTATTAAAGAATGTAAGCCGGAATTATTTAAGGACTGCGACGTGATATTTTCAGGGTTGGACTCTGATGTCGCTGGTGATATTGGTAAATAAGTGTGTATTTGTATATGCATTTTTTTGACAAAAAAAAAAAAAAAATTATTTATTAAGACTTTATACAACTTTATACAACTTTATGCATTTTTATAAATTTTATACATCCAAAAATATATATATTGTTCAGAAATGTCATTCTTAAAGTCTGATCTGGTGGTTTTTTCAAATGCAAAAAACTATCGTCGCGATTCGGTAGTCCCTCTAATAGTTCCGACCGTAAACCCATCACATTTTAATATAATCCCTCATCAACGTTCATTCCACTCCCTTAACAAGGGTTTCCTCGTTACAAATGCAAATTGTTCAACAACTGGTCTTGTAGTTGCTTTAAAACCTTTACAAGATTCATTTGGTCCTATAGAATCTGTAATCGTTCACACAATGCAAGCTATTTCGGGAGCTGGATATCCTGGTATCGCATCACTTGACATTTTCGATAATGTAATTCCCTACATTTCAGGTGAAGAAGAAAAGATGGAATATGAAACTCTTAAAATTTTAGGTGATCTAAATCAAGAAGCTACAGAATTTCAATTATTATCTTCAACATCTGTATCTGCTTCTTGTAATCGAGTACCTGTAATTGATGGTCATTTAGAATGTGTTTCTATTAAATTTAAAAATCGTCCTCCACCTTCACCTGAACAAATAATACAAGCATTTGATTCTTATATATCTGAGGCACGAAAAATGGGGTGTTATTCTGCACCTGAAAAAGCTATTATAGTACAAAGTGAACAAGATAGGCCACAACCAAGATTTGATAGAGATAATGGTAATGGGTATAGTGTTACCGTTGGTAGAGTTAGAAAATGTAATATACTTGATATTAAATTTATTTTATTGGTGCATAATACCGTATTGGGTGCGGCCGGAAGTGGAATTTTGAATGCTGAAATTGCTGTTGCAAAAGGATTGATAAAAGTTTAATATGATTTATATTAGATATATATTTACATAATAAAAACTCTTTTTTTTTTATTTGGTTAGAATCAGTGTATGAATCCAAATTAGATTTTATGTTCTCACAAGAACATTTTCCAAGTTCTTTTTCTCTCAATTTAGAAAAATTAAAATTGGTTTATATCAATCATTTATTATTCTCAAATAGAACTTATTTTAATAAATTATTTTTTTAAAAATTTAATTCGTGCTCTCGGAGAGCACCGAGATATTGAACTATCAGAATTAGTGTAATGTCAGCCGTTGCTCATTGATAGATATAATGAAGTTAGCACTATGGTACTGTTCAGCAGAATGGTTAATATATTTTTGTGTGTTATTTTTCTGCTTTATTTGGATTCCATCTTGTGGGTACGTATAAATAAATCCATTGAGAATATTTCTGCAAGTTAAATTATTATATAACTTCTATCTGAGTATATACAATCGTTGGTCTAAATTAGGAACATCTGTATAAAAAAAAATCAATTTTTCTGATATAGTTCTGAACGATGCATAAAAGACGCATCGATATGTAATTTCTATGCTGATGCAGATTTCTCATCGATTCTTAGATGGTCTTAAAGAGAAATCGTATGAAAAAATGTGTAAATAAACTGAAATGAAGCATACAATGAGTATTATAATTAGATGTCTTGCTTGTTTTAAGAATTTTAATAAACTTTCTTTTTTTGATGTATGTGAAGGAATTGAAATGGTAATTTGGCTTTCAATGCATAACTTAGCCTTCACGTTCGAAAAATTCTTTGATTATTCAATTTGAATATTTCGGTAAGACATGGATATATGATATAGTTATTCTTATTTATGTATATTAAAAAGTTTACACAAATATCATACAGTATTGTTCATATCAGATATCTGATTTAGTTGAATGCTACGTACGTAGATTTCGAATAATTCGAGTTTTATCATAATAATTTGAGATTCGCGAGCCTGCATTTTTTGGAGTCTGGTGCCCAACCTGCTTTTATAGCGATAGATCATACATACATAAATATATATAAATATATATATATATAGTATATATAGTTGCTAGATCTACTATTTATCTTATTATAGCCAAGCCTCGTTAATTCTGGCCAGAGGCAAGAAAATCTTGTATAATCGGCCAGAATACCAATAATGAAAATCTGATCACAAAAAAAATTTATCAAATAGTTTATTTTTGTATATAAAAATTTCAAATTTCAAATAAAATTAAAGAAAGCTCTTCTACGACTACGCTGCCCCTCAACATTACAAACCTATATGGAACCTAGTTCACCTACTTGTTTATTAGATGGTAAAGAAAGTCGGACTTTAAATAAACTAGGAAAACGGGATCCGTTGGGTTCCGGAGCGCCGCTTCATATTAGTATACAAGTTTCTTAGTAAATTTA